GATGAAAAGTGTTTAAGTAGATCATTTTATGAGTAGATACTGTTACTGATAAAAAGAGCAGGATATATTCAACACTGAAATAAACTTACAGATCTTTGAATTAACTGGGAGGTAGGTTGAGTTCTTATCCTCATGGAGATCAGTAAGGTATTGTGTAGCAAAGATAAAAGAAGGGAAAACGTGCAACTATATCTGCTAGAGTTTTCTGACTTCAGAGTTGTTAAAGGTCTTCATAGAACTCCACTTGTAGTGCATTGAAGTATTTGAAACAGAAGTTCTATAATCTTATTCCTATTCTGTACATAAATTCCTTAATGTTTATTTTAAAACTTATAATGTATTTTAAAAAAGCCTATTAAGAGCTATACTGGTGCTGCAGTGCAGGAAACTTCCTCCCTTCTGAACCTCTAGCTTCTCTATGATTAATGGTGTGGCGGTGCCCTCCTCACAAGCAGGGGCTCCTGTTAACAGCAGCTTTGGACTGAAATGACTTGGAGGTTGCTGTTGCTTATCCTGACATAACTAAAACAGGTGATGGTTATGGTGAGAAAATAGTTTACAATGCTGCTCTACAATATGTACAATAAAAAGCAAATAGGAGGCTTTGGGGTTTAGGAAGGGTCTAAAGCTGAGGTAAGAAACAGCTGATTTCAGCTACCATTAAAATGTACTAGATGGAGAACATGACAACGTTCCTTATGCTTGTCTGGGGAAAAAAATATTAACAGAAAGATAGTTGGGCCTTTCTGAAACTGAGGTAGAAAGAAAAGCTCTTAATGGCATAGGAAAAATATAGTTACTTTTTCTTTTTGAAATTTCTCTAACTTCTTTTCTCAGACTCATTTACTACTCTGCTATCCAAATTCCATTGCATTTTCTTAATGCAATTGTAATATTTCCCCTATATCTTTATCTCACCAAGTATAATTGTTTGCCAGTTTTGTCTAAAAGAGTAACAGTGCTTATCATGTGGTAAGTGCTCTTTAACAAACTTGTCTGATGAATATTTTAATGCCATGCTAGTTCTTTCCTCCTGCCAGCAAATTGTCTGCCAAGTGGCTTACAACTGACACACAGGTTTCTTTCCTGTATTCCAGCTGCCTGTCTTGTTGAATTTCTGTATCAGGAAAGGATAACAGAATAGTGTTAGCTGTGTTCTGCAATTCAGTAATAGCTATTATTTAACAATATTTATCCCTTTGGTAAGGGTTAGGTCTTTATATTTCATAGTGTTGTCTGGCACAGGGTGTAAACAAATTATGTTGCTGATTCTGTGCTGATCAAGCAGCGGTACTGTTGTATTTTTCCTGGCACTGTTATCCCAATTAAAACTATCACAAATTTTGGCCAGTAGCTTCTTTGATTAATTTCCTGTTCTCATTAGTAGTGTTCCAGAGTCTGTCTGTCACATTTGTTCAGGCTATGTTGACCCCATAAAAGGGAATTGATTTAAGTCTGCCCTTACTGCAAGAACTGTAATGAAACATTACATCTTATAATGACAATCTGGAAAGGCACAAACCTACATAAGCACAGAGATGAGAAGGGACTTGCACGTCTTCCTGGATTTAAGAGCAGTAGATTGTGTTTGGCTGTTGCTGTGTCATTTAATTGAATGAGAAGGTTGTCTTGGAGTCGTGAACTAGCTGAGGCTGGAAGGAACCTCTGGACATTGTCTAGTCTGACCCCTCCCTGCTCAGGGCAGGACTACCTACAGCAGGCTCCTCAGGGCCACGTCCAGCCAAGTTTTAAATATTTCTTCAAGGCTGGAGACTTGAGTCTCTCTGTGCAATCTATCATAGTGGAAAAACGTATTTGCTTAAGTTCAAATGGAATTTCCTGTATTTCAGCTTGTACTCATTGCCTCTTGCCCTTTCCCTGGGCACCACTGAGAAAAGGTGGCTCCTTTATTTTGTCTTTGAAAAAAGATTCCAGCAGCCATTTGTATAAATGGTAGTATTTGTATAAATTCCAGCTATTTGTATAAATAACACCCTGATTAGTATTTCATTATTGATTTTGTGGCACCAAAGGAATCCAATTCTCTGTCCTCCATCTCCCCAAGTTACCTTCCACAGATTCCCATCCCAGAGGTGCTGGGACCTGCTTCCTGCATCTGTAACTTTGCTGTTGCTCCTGTGGTGCCTAATGGGAAAGGTAGAAGCAGAAATTGGTTCTTCTTGCCCAGTTGGCTGAAGTCCAGCCAGCAGAAAACATTTGTCTTCAGTAAATAAACTCTCTGAATACAAGCACCAGCTACTCTAGTGTACAAATCAGGGAGTTGTTTTTCTCACTGAGGTAAGTCCCATTTGCAGGTAAAACTTAGGAAAGCATGTACTCTGTAGCTGAAGCACCACTGACAGTAAACATGACAGAATTAGGAAAAACAATTTTGGAAAGGATTAGTGGAGAAATGTGCTTGGTCCTCAGTAGTTGCAGGTATCTGTATTGCTGTTCTCAGGGTAACTGATGCTCAATCACATTTTGTATCATTATTTTCCTGTTGCATATGACTTTTGAACCTGAGACTTCTACTCAGAGAAATTGGTGATTTTGAACATTTATCTTTACAGGAACTTATCTGGTCCTGTCCCATACTATTTTGTAGGATGATATGCAGGAATCCAAAGGAACAACCTACTTTAGCATATGCAGATTTTTAATATTAAAACATGCTCATAATACAAGACCTGCTGAAGAAATTTTAGTGAGGTATGTGCAGGTGGTTCCATGCACTATGAACACACTGTGCAGGTCTGCAGAAGACCTGCCTCCTTTCAGTGAGTGGTCTAAAGATGGGCTTGCTCTTGCTGTTGAGTCCTAAACCAAGAACCTACTGGGTTCAGGAGTACTCTGCCACTCTTTCTATGTTTAAATACTGATCCTACTTCCAGAGACCAAAATACTTCTTATCTTAAATATTAGAAGTAGCTTAAGTGAGGCAAAATTAAAGGTGAAATTAAAATTACTGAAGATATATCTTCTTGTCTTGGTGCTCTATTTCCCCCCTCCCCCCCCGCCACTTCCATCTTTTCACTTTTAATCAAAATTATGTTCCCAGAACTTTGTTTTGGTTTTACTAAGTTGCAGCAGCAGCTACCTATAAATATTCTTTATTTAAAAAGATGACCTCAGATTACAAAACATCAAGTTGCATTTGTAATTGTAACGAGATTATATTATGCAGAATATTTTTCAGCATGGTCTGGTCCATATTTAAAAGCACTGCATTAACATGGACTTCTTGATGACCAGAAAAGGCCATCAAACCATGTCTGATGGCTCTGTAATCCCAGTGGTAATTTATCTGAAGCAGATTTGACTGCACACAGCATTGACATGATTCAAAAAGGTCAAGGTCCAAGGCAGGTGGTGAGCCAGCCTGCATTGTTGGGCTTGGGAGAGATGTTCTCTTTCCAGGAGGAGGCCTTAAATGACTCTTATTAAATCTGTAATTTGTGACTCATATGCCCAAATGTAATGCAAATCCACTGTCTTTCTTGTATGCAATTAATGTCAATGGAAAGATGAAATGGAAGTTCAAGGAAATGGTATGCACCATCTCAGAGCCTTGTGTTGACTCCAATTTTCTTACATCATAAACTGCTTTGAGCCCTCTAAAATTATAACCCAGCAATTTAATGCTTGTGTTTCATGTTGCTTAAGTTAACTTCCTTTAGACAAAAAAGGGGTCTGAAAGCACGTGGTTGATAACCGCTGAACAAATTGATGACTGACCTAATTGATACAAGAGAAATTTAGTGGTGCTCACAGTTGTGATACAGCTCATCTGCAAGGAAATAAATTGAGGGAAGGTATTCATGCCTTCCTTCCAGCATTTGCATAAGCCACAAGACTTGTTGCATACTAAGGATGGTGAAACTTGAGTACTTGTTTTATACTCATGAACCCAGTGGGTCAACCATAAACATTAAAGCCACTCAAAACCATTTTTAAATTCAGCTGATCAACAATCGATGTTCATTTAACTGACGAGCATCCATCATTTATGTAATTTGTGGTCCTAAGTACTCCAGAGATCAGCTGCTGAAGTTCCTGAATTTTAAGTTGCACTTCAGTTTTCTCAGGGTTTTTTAAATTCAGGTTTCATGTATCTTGATAGATTATTTTCCAAAATGTGTGAGAGACGATGAAAAAAGCTTATGTGGAAGAACTCTGTCTATGCATTAATATTGTATGAAAGAAAGCCAAAACAAACCAACTACTGATTCTCATTTTTGATTTACTGGAGAGTGCATTTTGTGTAAATTTTGATGTCTAACAGTTATTTCTAGCAACTTCTGGGGGACAAGGGGTATGCAAAAAAGGTGAAGCTCTGATTTGTCTAGACAGAGCATGTTTGACATAAAAAGGATGGTTTTTTCCTAGCCTCCTGCAGGCTACCAGCTCAGAGCAGCTACAGACACAGTGCATTTATGCCTGTTAAACCAGAAGTTCTGCCTATTGTTTTTCCTGCCTTCATCAGTTTCTACTGCTATAGTCCAACTATGCTATACCAGGCTATTAAACATTCAGCATCCAGAATGTCTAGACAGGCTAAAAGACTGTCTGTGCTCCTTTTCTCAGAGTCAACTTTCCTCAGAACTAAAAGGCTAGTTGGAAAGCAAAGGTGGCAGAGTTTTGAGTACAAGAGACACTTCAGGCTGCCTTCTGAGTGGGTAGTAACACACACTGATAGGGATTTCTAGTGCACAAAATCTGTGTGCAAACCTCCTGCTGCTCCCCAGAGGGCCTTCAAGCCTTTGACAATTACTGCTAATGTATTAAACAGCTTGCACTCCTATTCTAAGGATACCAGACTACATAGAAATGTATTCTGTTAGCTGGCAGTGTTCTATTCAAATAACAGAGGAGAAAACTCAAGGGTGACTTCCTTGCCACATAAGATGGGAAAGATCTTTTTGAGGCAGAAACAAATGGTTTCTGTGTAGGGACCTGTGGACCAAGAGAGACATCTTGCTGTGTATATCTGCTGGTTTTGGCAATGTCAAACAAGAAAGCAAACAGAAGTGCCAACTTCTTATTTTCTATGTAATCTTTATTTTCTTCAGTGCTGACTTGAGTCGCTCTGTATAGCAAGAAGCAAGTACTTGTTTCTTGCAGGGTGGAAATGAATGTTGTCTCTAGAAGCTTTGCAAATTGAAAGTTAGATACCTTCTAAGGGCTGTTGATCCTGTTTTGCTGTTGATCTACTGCACACTCTATATGATTGTGATATATATTGTAGAAATATGCTTTGATTTTGCACCTCAGGACAAGCCTGGGAGGCTTTTTCAGAGGTGGGGAGGAAGGGAGGGCAGTCAGCTGGCACAGCAGAAGTTGTTCTTGTGCCTGCAGGAGTGAGGAGACATGAGTGCTCCTATCCAGCCATGCCTTTGGGGTCCATTGCACTTCCCCTTTCTTTGAAGAATCTTGGGAACCTTGTGCTAATTCTCTTAACTTCCAGTAAGGGAGAACAGCAACTTTGTGGAAGTGTTTAATAACCTGAGCTCTGAAAGGAAAGTAATCTTTCCTGTGTTAGGTGAGCCCTCCAAGAACAGACATCAACAAAACATTCAGAGGGTTTCTAGAGGGGAAAAAAAAATTACTGGTGAAAATGAAAAAAAAAAAATCCAATGTTCTGATGTCTTCAAATCAATACCCTTTGTCAGCAGCACTGCTTCTAGGAAACAAAGGTTATCTGACACGCCACATGAATTAATGATTCTGTGTCTTGGGTTTAAGTTGAATGAAATGATTTGATATGCCCTTCCAGTTTTAAAATCTAGAGAGACCTTTGCCCCAGAGAGATGACACTTCTTGGGGGGAAAAAGGAACCCAAGTAATGAGAAGAGAGTAAACATAGCTCCAAGGGGAAAACAGATCAGGATATTGTAATAAAACAGCTTCCTTAAATGCATTTGTTGGTCAGCAGTTTTGACTAGACCTGTCTTGGAATGAGAAAGCAAGGCATAGTGGGGTCAGCTGGCTAAAGGCTACCTTGGGGTTGTACATAGGAATTGCTATCCTGCCTCACAGCAGAGGTTCCCCTGAGTATCTCTCCCAGCTAATCGTGCAGTGCTGCCCTGAGAGTGTGGGAAAGAAGAAAAGGGAAACCTGATACCCGGTGTCCTTTGCTGGCAGCCTTTTGAGTTGCTGGATAATGTATGAGGTAGTCCTTCAGCTCTTGGTGCTGATCATGCTCCTCTCAAGCTCTGCGTATAGGTTTGGGCTTTGCATTTTAAGAAACTTGGGTTAGAAAGGAATCAAAAAGACTAGAAAATATCTCATAAGGAATTCTTTATCCAAAGGAAGATTTGATACATAAATATTTGGTTTAGTTTTTTGAAGTTGCTGCAAAGGAAATTAACACCTTTCCTTCCATACTTGGGGGAGGCAGGATAAAAACTGCTGAATACTCCGTGACTCAGCTTAACTTTGATACAAGGAAAAGCTTCCAGTAGAATATCTGGTAAACATAGTTAAGAAAAGGTGTGTAATTGCTGTTGAAAGGCTTCAGGAACAGGTTGGACAAGATATCTTTCCAAATAACAAGAGGTGATACTTGTTTCCTTATGCAGCAGAAAACCTTGGAGTCCTTTCTGTTTCTAAGATATGTTTTTTCCACCTCTTTTGGGCTGGTGGCAATATTGAACAAGCATTGTTTAGCTGGAGACTATGACATTCTGCAAATAGATATTGTGCTGAACAACACTCTGATTGTTGCCAAAGAAGGTATATCTCCTCTTCATTTTAAGTAAAATCCATCAGCCAGTTCAAAAGGCAATCATTGTTCCCTGATAAAATGCAGCTGGTGTGCACATGAGCTTAGTCAACAGACTATAAAATAACATAAGCTTTCCACAGGGATCAGGAACATCAAAAGCAGAAGGTGTATTTAAAAACAATCTCCAACAGATTGCTATAATTATTAAATGTGACGCATCACAGGTAGTGATGGAATATAGCTGAGATGGCACTACCCAGACAGGAAGGAATAATATAGCTTTGGTGGCCATCTCTGTATACAGATTTCAAATCCCAAAGAGTGGATCATCAGATGCCAGATTATGTGTAGCTCATCATTTAAAATGGGTCTGCTTTCATGAGGGAGGTGTATATTTACTGAAACATTCAGGTGCAGCTTTTGAACAAGTTAACAACTTTAATGCCACTCCACTTGGGAACATGGGAGAAATAACTATACAAACCTCTCCACTGGACTGCCGTAGTGGGATGTACTGGTATGGTTACACTTACCCACAGAGTAATGTTTGAAGGTCCACATGCAATACATGTCAGACATTTCTGTCTATAGCTTATCAACACAGAAGCAGAGAAGTGACAGGTACAGCAAAGTGGCTTTGTGAGAGCCTCTTGGGCTGGAAATGAGCTCCTCTGTTGCCTCAGCTTGCCCTTGTGGGGGCCACATTTTATATGCTTTCAACTCCAAATGGAAGCAATAAGGTAGGATGGACATACAACTGCTGCCAGGAGAAAGTCTCAGATGGAGCTGTTCTGAACTTTCCCCTTCCGCTTTAGATCACATTTCCCTTAAGGAAAAAAATCCTAATGGGTTGCTTTTATGTTTCTGGTAAGAAAGAACTGCAGGCACTTTAACCCATTGCAACCCATTAAAAATTGATAAAACCAATCAGCAGTTGCATGATAAACCGTTTCACAGCATGGTGAATTTTCTTTAAAATAGTAAGTAGAGTACCCTTTTAATATTTGTACTTATAAGATTAACTGTATTCTGTCTGAATTGAATGCTGCAGTCAAAACAGGCTGGTGCCGGAGCGGTGAAAACTCTTTGGCTTTACATTGATAGGACTGCTCTGAATTGCTTTCAGTGTTCTGTCTCAGCTTTATCTGCTTTTCCTGACCTACAACTCACACAATTAACAGTGCTAGACATCATTCTTTCATTGGCTTGAAAAAAAGTCTCCGGGCCTGCTGCATTTGCTAACTCCTCTGCTTGCAAGGATTCCCCTCTACTACACAGTGCAGTAACCCTACAACTCTAGATAGATGCCATTTTAATTTCAAATTCTACTTTGCTTAAAATTCAGTACTAACTGGAATTCTCAGGGCCCTGAAAGTCAGGAAACTGCCGTCAAGAAAGGCCTTAAACCATGAATTTTACATCATGTTGCAGTTTGTATTTTCAGGTTTTGCACTTGCAGGTATATCTGTGAACATGAGGGAAAGAAATTATTCAAAACCTAAGGTTTGCTAATTCATATTGAAGCAAGAGCTTTAAAAGGAATGTCAGACTGTAATAAAACTGAGAACAATAGTGGTTAAACCTACCAAATGAAAAAAAAAAGATAGAAACATCCATTTGAATCTTTGTTTTTTCACTAATTTGGGTACTTTGCATTCCTACTTTGGAATGTTAATAAATTTCACACAAACATTTCCGAAAGAGATAAACTTATGGCCTTTTAGCATTCTGTCTGTGTGCTGGAATAAAAAAAATTTAGACACCAACTGGCTTTGCCGTGTTCCTCAGCAAGATGCTGTGCTGGGAGGCTGAAATACGTGTGAGCAAGAAGTGGCATGTCCAAAATTCTGAGCAAAAGCTTCAGCTGCTTTGAGCTCCTAAAATGTCCATAGCATTGCCCAACATTCACTTTCAAATTAAAACTCATTAGGGCAGAAGGGCTTTTTATCTAGAGATCAGAGCTTACCTTTGCTGCTGCTTCATGCAAAGGAAAGGTAGATGAAGAGTTAAATAGTTGAAGGTAGCAGAAACTATACATTTCAACAACATTAATTAATTATCAGTTATGGTAATAACATCAGCTTAGAGTAGTGTAAGAAATAGTCATCTTCACCCATTCTGTAGTGTTTTTTTAACAGATAAACTGGCATAATCTGTTCTGTGTTCTGATCCCAAAATTACAGACATATGTGGTATGATTCAGTACTGAAAGAAATCTCTGATTTTTTCAAATTATTCCAGATTTGAGACTCATCTAGGATAGATGAATATAAAACAGTGAAGCTGTGAAAAACACATACCTGTGATCAGCCTGTGTGTATTTTTAACATATGTGATGCAAGTGGTGTTGTCTTTGGAGAGCAAATCCTTGTAATGCAGGGAACTGAATCCCTTTATCACAGACTAGCTTGTGTCTTCTTAAATATTGCTCATTCACTGATTGCACAGCTGCAATGTAATTAAAATGTTTGTTTACCTGTAAAAGAGGTGAAAGCTATATATTGATGTTTGTATACATACATGGTATTATATCAAAGAAGTTATAAATTATAAATTATTTTCAAACCACTGTTAGAACAATTTTAAAGCAACTTTTAACTATATTAAGTGGCTTTTGGAAGGGGTGTTAAAAATATCCCATAATGAGATACCTGTAATTCTCTTCCTTACACAGAAATAGACAGACATATGAGTAAGACATGCCAAGTTTGACTAAGTACATGGCATGGATTTAATTGCTGTGCTGCTCCCTGTGTTTCTGCCATGCAGGAGCACAGATTAGCATTATGTGTGAACTGGAATACAGGGAAGTTCATGGGGCTGACTGCTGAGAGCCCAGCAACCACCACCCAGCTTGTTGCACTGAATTAAGTCTCAAAACATTCTGTGAAATAAATTGCAATCTTCTGAGCAAGATAAATTACTCTCAGGAGCAATCTGCCTTTACCCTTTAAAAAAAATGTCTCTTTAAATGTAAATTTAGCTTTCCAACAGAGACAGTATCGCCATGGTAACAAATGCAAGAAAAATAAATGTCTCTTAGAGGAAAACCACTTTTTATTTTGTATAAACATATTCCATATAAAATAAATTATGCAGCTACAGAATTATTGTATATACAATCTCAGACAGTAAAAAAGAGTATAAGTCTTTTCCTGGAATGGTTCTCTGAGCTAGTACCAAACATAATTGCTTGCAGTAAAGAAATGTATTGTATACTTAATTTCATATGCTGTGAACTAGAGCTCTCATCTTTCAGTTTGCTCTAAATGGACTGGAATGCTACAAACTTCAGTGGAGCGTCAGGCAGGCAGCAGGAGTTTACAGAACTGGAGCCTAAAATGTAATCTCTGCCAGGTAATTTATATTACAAATGCTCTGCTGTGTGAATTTCCTCTGCCCAGTCTACCACTGGAGAGGTTTGTTATTCAAAGAGCACAGAAGCAGTGGTTTGGATTTCTCCTTTCATTGAATGAAAGGAAGAATGCTTTCAGGTTAGGCCTGTTTCAAAAATAAGATTGATGAGTGGTGTACTTTAAATTGTTCACAAACAAATTCCTCTCTACCTCTTCCTGCATCAGTAACCCCCTACAAAGGTCAGTGTGAGGAGACACCCAAGATGGGCAGTATCATTGTTTGCAAGAATTTCTGCATGGTTAAAAATAATTTCTTATTACGTTGTCTACTTTCTCATTTCAGGCTTCAAATTTCACACTGTACAACTACAGTGTTTTCAAACACTGTCTTTGTTGAAATATTCCACAATTGTTTATTTACCTTCTTTCTTTCTCTCCTTTTGGCTGTGTGTAGTGTGTTTGAAGGCTGCAGGGGAGTGAAGATGCCCATGGCTGGGTTTTAGTGGTGGGAGGAGGTGAGGAATTCTGGTGCTTGCCTGTGGAACAGAAACTATTCTGCATTTACCTCTCATCTGAATAAGACAATAGCTTACACAGATTAAGCTCTTTCTTCTTTCTGTATGGCAGGAAGGGAAACTGTATTAGCTGCACTTAAATATATGTTAAAGAATTAATTGCTTCTAGAGATTGTGACACTGACTTCGGTATGTCATTTGCTGTGAGAGGCAGCAGCAATGGTGCTGAAACTGTAAACTGCTCTTTCCCTACTTCAGCTCTGAGTGGCATGTTCAGTAGCATCAACATCTATCACTTTGGATATTGCTCTGTAACGCTTTTTGAAATCAGAAGTGTAAAGTGGAACGTTTTCAGTGATGGCTTGGGCAGGACTTCATACAACCTAGTCTTCTGAGAAAAGATAAAGGAGTCAGCATCAGCAAAATATTGTTCTTTTATGTGTGCAGTTTTGCAGGAAGTGTAAAACTAATATGCAGAGATGGATTAACTAAGGTATCAGGAAGCAATCAGCTTCTCCTGCATGTCTCAGCCTGCCAGCAAGAGTACCTGGACTGGGTTACACTGTGAATCATCTTGCTTGCTGTCGGGCCTTGTGCAGCAGCTGGTAAAAAAGATGTGTAAGGGAAGAAACAAAAGTAACAAGACAGACAAGCACTAATTCTTCCACGTGTATCTTCCTGGTAATCTGCAGTTTTGGATTAAGTGCATGTAGCAGTCTGTGAGGCCCACCTAAGGACGCGACCTCAAAGAGTCTTTGGCTCGGAGCGCTGTCAGCAAGCACTGAGGAGAAGCGCTTCCCGTAGGGCTCCAGAGGGGTGCAGGAGCCCGGAGCGGGCTGGCCCCGCACTCTGCTCGGAAGGCAGGGCCCAGCTCCAGAGGGGTGCAGGAGCCCGGAGCGGGCTGGCCCCGCACCCTGCTCGGAGGGCAGGGCCCAGCCTCTGTCCCTGGGTGCCGCAGCAGCCTCACCCACCCCCGGCAGCACAGGGCGGCCGGGCACGCTCCGGGACAGCGGCCAGCCTGAGGTGACTTCAGTATGTGACACTCATGTTCTGCCTTGCCAAACATCCTACAGCACTGCGAGCACAGGGGCAGCACAGGGCAAAGAGCAAGGCAAGGGGTGGGCATCCCATCCCTCTCATTGCTAAGAGTTGGTCACTGTGTTTCAAATAGAGGCGGTCAGAAGGGCAGAAAGGTGCCTTACTGCAATCATAACTTCTATCTGTTCCTCTCGCTTCTGGGTGCTCTGCAAACCGTGTGGGGGTCTATGATGGACACCACTTTTGCTCAGAGAGGCCCTGGATGCAGAGGCAGGAGCAGACAGACAGCTTCCCCAGGCTGCCGGCCCGCTCCCCTCACGCCGAGCTCTCCTCTCGGCCCGCTCCGCTCCCGCCCCGCCCGCGCGGCCGGACGGCGCATGCGCGCGGCCCCCGAGCCAATGGGGCGGGCGGGCGGGGCGGGCGCGGCCATTGCGGCCCGGCCGGCTGAGGGGACGCGTCGCTGCTGCCGCCGCCGCGATGGTGTCCTGGATGATCTCCCGAGCGGTCGTGTGAGTGCCGGGCTGGGGCTGCGGGAAGCGGCTTATTTCCCGGGGCGGGGATGGTCCCGAGGAACGGCGGGCGAGGGGCGCCGTCCCTTTTCTCCTTCCCCCCCAGCCTCCTGAGCCGGGTGCTCTGCGCTCCTTTTGGGGCTCTGTGTGCCTCACAGGGTCCTTGTGCTCCCAGAGCTCCCGCAGGACCTGCCCGGGGCTGTGGTTACCGTGTGTAACGCATCCTGCCCTAAGCGCACGTTCCCCGGGTGCGGGGCGGCCGGCTCGCGCTGCTTGTGCCTGGCACGCACGAATTGCTGCCGCTGCTTTTAATCGATCCAAAGCAACCTGTACAATCTCCAAACTTTTCCTTTTCAACTTGTAGCGCAGTTGAGAGGACTGGAAGAGTGCTTGCGAGTGTGAGATGGCGGTCTGTGCTGAGTGTAGGTTATCAGCTGAAGAGATTGGCAGTGTTGTTGTGTAGTGCTCTTCATAAACTCGAGATTTTGAAAGCCAAAGAGGCAAAGTTTCTTAGGCGAGAAGCTTCATGTTACGTGTTGTATAAGTTCTGTTTGAGCAAAACTAAACTGCAGTGGCACCTCTGATGTTTTTCATAGGCATTGTACTGTTCCTTCCTGAAACGGATGAGTTATTGTGTTCATTTGAATTATACTCCCTCGTAAAGGTTGAGTAATATTTGGGTAGCAGAGTCTTCCTCATGCTCCTTGCTGGGTAGCACCGTGACTCTGGGGTCCCCAGTGCTTATTAGCTCGTTTGAGCTGAGATTAGCTGCGTGTGAGTTTTTGCCAGGCAAATGAAGTGAATCTGCTCACAAAGCAGTCCAACAAACATCCGAATTAGCATAAAGTATGTAGCAGGAGTGTGTGACCCACAGCGGGACATAATAGGATTGCCATGTTTTGTTGGTGACAGACCACCCCCTTAAGATGTCTGGTATAATTTCATCAGAAAACATTCTCAAGTTTTCTCATACTGCCACGTATATTTTCCTGCTGCAGTCCAACCACCTAGATAAGTAGCAGTTCTTCTCCCTCTTGCTGCCGTCCCTGAGACTTGTCACATAATTGCAACTTGCAAACTAGAACGTCACGTTCCAGACCTGGCAAAGGACGGCAGAGGTTTGGAAGGGAGTCTGTGGGAGGAATTGCTGTTGGTGCACTTTGCCAGTGTGGTCTTCCCATAGGCTTTACACGGGGCTATAGGCAAGAGGCATACTCTTGTGTTCTGTACATCAGATGGAGCTGCTCAACCTGTTTCTGCTTTGTTGCATAAGAGCACCAGCCAGAGAATTCTTATTTTAACTGCTTAGACTGTGTTGGTTTCAAGGGAAATGGCAGCAATATTGAGTACCTAAATTTCTGATGACCAGGTTCTTCTGTAGTTAGTTGTTTTTTTCCCCCCTGAATTCCTAAGGGTTGTATTTGCATAAGTTCAAGTCCTCTATGAGCCTAACCCAATAGCACAGAGAATGAAGAGAATAGCTACTGTTCTCCACCGATTTATTGCAAAAGGCAATAAAGGATAATATACTGTGCAGTTCTGTGGAGTTTGGTTTCCTTGTCACCATTGGTCACTCATCTGTATGCCCTAATTATTTTTGCTAAAAAGGGAGTCCTAAATATTATTTATAATTCCTTTCCACCTTCTTGTGTCCTTGTTTTCTAGCTGTGGGATTTGAATAGTTTGCCAGTGTTCAATTTCTCAGGAAGATGAAAGTGTTCGATGAGAACTTGGACAGCTTTGAGATTATTGTTTAACTTTGCTAATAAAGCAAAATTCTTGTGAAAACAGAAGGTGAGAAGTAGCGCAGAAGTAGACCTCGTGTGACATGAGAGGTCTTAATTTCAATGGTCTTGAGAGTGTCCTTCTTGTCCTGTTTTCTCAGTGCCCATTATCTTTCTTTTTTTGATCTGTTTTCCTGTAATCTCTTCCCAGAGGTACCTATTTCAGTGACTTTGAGTCTCTGAATTGTGTGTTTGGAGTTTGGAAGGTGTGTCCTAGCTTTCCCTTAGAAACCCTAAGAAACAGATTTTTAAATACTATGTAGCTGTGAAGACCTGAGGTTTGGATTCTGGCATGGTGACCTCGTGGTGCAAAGTCCATAGCAGCCTGTCATCTTAACAGTGATGGAAAGGAGCAGCAGCTTTTCTGGCTGTGGCAGAGTTCTCCACTCTTGACTGACCTCCTATGTTTCAGGGCCAAAACAACAACAAAATATTAATTTGTAGGTGTGCCGCAGTGCCCTCTGCTGACTTCTGACATGGTGGACTTGTCCTGACACGTGTGTCCCAAGCAAACTGCATTCTGTTTCAATTTGAGACTTTGCAATTTGGAATTCATTAACACCACTAAAATACTTTGGTTAACGCTTTAAGGAACTAGGGAATGGAGCTAGTAGACAATTTGAATTCTTAATTGCATGTGAATTGTCTTGAGGAGTCAGTCATGCACAGGAAACAGGGAGTGGTTCAAATTCACTGTTCCACATAATAATCTTCAGCAGAACTTTGTTTTAATGAATTTTTTCCCTTTGCTCTATGAATGCTATTATTCTTAAATATTTAAATTTGTGAAATACCTTGTACTAATTGTATATCTTTATGTCAATAAGCAAAAGACTTGAAATGCACAAGTAAAGCATCTTTCATTTTCTGATTCTGTGTCAGTTGGGTGCTGTTGTAGTAAGTATAGCTCATTATTATTTCTAAAACACACTGGCTGTTGCAACAATTTTTGGAATGTTTACTGCAGGGTTTTTACTTCTTTTTCCACGCAACAAAACCAACAAAATGATAAATTATTTCATTCAGAGTCTCAGAAAACTTTTCAGAGTGGCACATCTTGTTCTTAGTCTTTAATGGTGGAAATAATTTTTAAAATTTGTGACTGTCCATCTTGTTAATTTCAAATAGAGCTTGTGCCTGACTTTTCATCCACTTGGATTGCTCATTCTCCTCATTTGTAAGGTCTGAGTGATTGTGTACACATCAGTTGCTGAGACAGTATTTAATAGTAAACACACTGAATACTTGTCAGTCACAGCCTGGTATGGATGAGATCAGACCATCCTCTTGTGCCAAGCAGAGATGTGAAAGCATCCTAAATACCAAGTAGATGGCCATTTTGTTCTTGCAATCTGTTGAAGCAGACTGTCTGCCGTAATCTGTTAACTTTTTTCCCTCCTCACTTAAAAATGAAAGTTCCCCCATCTGTGTTGCTTTGCAGCACACTCTCTCCCTTCATGTTTAAGTACATGGTTTGTTTCCAGTCAGGTAGGTCAGCATCCATGAACATTGGAAGGGAAAGTTGCAGTGCTCCACAGAAGGATGTATTTGTCTTGGGTACTATAGTTAGCTTGCTGTTTGCTTCTATTTATAATGTCTTGTCTTCCCTACCCCAGTTTTAGAGCCTTGCAAATATTCCTTGAATCTGATATTAGATTATAACTAAATACTTTAAGCTGGACAAAGCCCATGTCTGGGGGACATAGGAGGTGACCTGAAGCTAGGTAGCAGTATTAGTCTCTTTCAGCTTTTGCTGCTTTACACATTGGAGCTGTTTCTTTAATGGTCATTTCCAAGGCATGATCTTACTCTACTTTTAATGCTTCTGTTGTTGTTTGACATTTCCAGATGTCCAGCTGCCCCTAGAATTACTACATATCTGAGAATGGGTAGCTGAAACCATAGCTTCTGTGTTGATTGAGTTGTTGTCAGGAATACCTGGCTTAGCATGTAAGTCATATTTTATGTAAATGTGTATGCTTGACTGTAAACCTAGATTGTGTCTTGTTCTTGGAATACAATTTTTAAAATTAAAATCATAAACTATAAAAATATGTACCCTCTTGTTTGCTAATCAACGTGGTGTCAAACTTGTATTGAAGCGATCACAGCTGATTGGATGGAATCAAGTAACAATAACACCATGTGTGTGGGAGCAATAGCTACAGCTTTATAGCCTGATCTGCAAGGCAGAAGAGCCATTTGTGGGAGAGTTTTTGACTGTTTGTAGGCTGCTCTCTGGCACAATGGTTGCAGCTGAAGTATGAAGGATGTTGACTGCTGTTGCATGTTGAATTTCTGACAGTATTCTTTGGTTTAAAGGCCTATAAATTGCTGCTGCACCTGTGGGGAAAAAGGAGTTGCTGTCATGGTGTGAATGAGATGTGCTGCAATGTCTGTCTCATCACAGAACTGGAATGAATCAGTGACTGTGTATCAGTTATCCTTGGCATTTCATGCTAAATAGATCTCACTGTCCTTTTGCTGGGAGGGGCTATCCTGTCCTTCATCCTCTCCTCATTCACATTCCACAGGATCCAAACTCTGTGACCCCTGTGTGAGTCTGATTGTTTTGTCAACTCGAATGAAAATTAGCATTGATAGAAGTCAATCTTTTGTTAGTTGCAATGAACTGCAGCAGCTCACACTGCTGTTGGGTAGTTGCTAGGTAAGTGCTGTGCTGAGAATGAAAGGTTGCAGGACAAAACCAGCATTATTTTAGGCTTTAGGGTATGGTTAAAGCGTGCTCTGAAACTACATTCTTTGCTTTCACATTGCTGCTTATTCTTTCTTCTTATGAATCTAGTTCCAGTAATAACAGTGCAGCTGTTCTAATCAAACAAGGTGTCAGATTTTTTAAAGGGTTTTCAGTTTCATGGGTTGAAATCTGTAAGCATATGTAAGTCTAGGGATTAAGTGTATTGTCCTGACTGTGTGAAAGTTTAAAATCATTTACATAATTAAGCAATGAAATAATCAGAACTCTTCTCTCCAATAGTTCAACTTCTCAGTGAGGTAATCCTAATATATACAATGAGAAGTTTCTGCTCACTTGTATATGACTTGTAACACCTCTTGAGTTAGTGCGGTGCAAAATAGCTATCTCTGACAACTTTTAAGAAAGAAGTGTCCCTACTGCTTGTCTGGCACACCTTTGCCTTAAACCAACATTTGCTCTGCAGCCTAGCTGCTCTTTTCTCTGCCATGTTTATGGGA